CACTAGCTACAACTTTCACCCGTTGTTCTAACAACGTTAAGACGGCTTATCGACTTCTTGAGAAGAATTCTAAGAAGAAAGTAAACCTACAGACATCGGTCTTGTTTAATTTTGAATATTAAACCTGATTCATTCCAAAGATTACATCAATCATCACAGTGAAGATGCAGTGTGTGTGCATCTGCCATCAGCTTTACATTCCAATTGATTCTTTAGAATTCTGCACTTAGTTGAAACCAAATTGGAAATTGTAGAACTAGAGACACATACTGAAAGGCAGCTTACCAGTTTGGACTTTTGATTATGTTCAATGGTATGCCTGTATATACTGTTTTTGCTATGTATTCCTTACTCTGGTTTTGCTGTCATAACATTAAAAAAAACCTTCCCATTATTGGAGCTTGAATGATGCAGGATTGGCTTAGAGATGATGAAGCATTTTGTGATCTTGGCTAGTTTTTTTGTCAAGTGTACAGAATACTTTCAGATTGGCTCTTTCATCTCCATTTTCTCTGGCTCTAGAATATAAGTAGGCCTTGTGATATTTTTTATGTGGTTGTTCATTCTAGTAACATCAAGGACATATATATTCCTATGTATATTTTTCCAGGTTTACCTGTTTTTAGGAAGTACTTTTTAGCAGTAATTTTAACTAATTCTTACAGAATAATCTGTTGTATGTTTAAATTTACTTAAAGCACTAAACTCGCAAACTGCAGCAAATGCTGCACCTCTGAATATTTAATAGCATAACAGCATAAAGGAATCTGCTAAACCAATCGTGTAAGGCCTAGTCTTGGTTACAGAAATGATGTAGACTGTTTACTGACACAATGCAGGTATCCTATAGTGAAAAGCTATTTATTAAAGTAGTTCAGTCTTTCTTATTTATATATTAGTAACATATGTTTGTTGATGGTTTGTTCACAATTAGTACTATCTACTGATTATAGGCTCAGTCCATTTACATTTATTCTATCCAAATTAACATTTATTGCCCACAATACTTAATATTGTCTTAAAGAAGACAAGGGGAGTAATACTATTACTGTTAATATTTTGAGGCAGTGTTAACGATTTACGTAATTGTGTTTGATTTGTTAAAGCTAGTGTAAAAATGAACTTTAAGGGCCAAGAGAAACGTAGACTTAGCATTTCTATATCTGTACATGAAAAATTAATCATTAATTGTTTTAGTATAGTATGTTTTGTAGCTGATGAAAAGTTTTAACTTTCGTCAATGTAGGCTTAGTTCCTGAATTAATTACCCATTGTATGCTTTTGTTTACTAGCTAATGGGAAATTTGAACGTAAGTCAGTGCTAAGGAAGATACTAAGCCCTTGTATTCAGAACTTTAACTTTTATATTTTGGTTTGAAGAGAACAAAAAACATTTAATTGTACAGCTGCTGAACTATTGGATTTCTGGAAAATCTGACAGGATCAAATCTTCACTTATATATTTTGGAAGTATTTTTCATTGACTTGTGTATATATATAAGTAAATCACTTTTTTGATGGTAAAGTTATAATATCAAATGGTGACTTTTAAATGTAAAAATCTTTGCTTTTATTGTTTCATAGAAAACTACGCCAGGGAGATGTATTCACAGTCAACGTTTATTCGGATGGCTCACCTGACCTTAGTGGGAAAGGATCACGAGGAATCAAGAAAAGGAATAAAAAAAAAGTAAGAAGAAAATAGTTTTGTCAAATCATTTTTTACTGCTATTTTTTCCCTTCAATACTGAGAGCCATAAACCACATATATATGTATAATAACCCAGCCTTTTCAAAAAATTATTTAATTTTTCTGAAGTGCAGAAAAAAACTTGTGATCATCTTTCATTTCTGGTTTCAATCTGTTTTTGGTTTAGGTGTATAAATTTTTCTTCTTCTTTTCAGCTATTTCACAAAGGGTTATTATATATAATTTTGTGATGGTTAGAAGTAACTGAAAGTGTGTCCCAATAATTTTGTTGGTAGATATGATTAGTTGTGAAATCAACTTTTGTAAATATCTTTACTAAAGGTTATTGGCTCAAAATAATAAGATTGGATTATTTAATGATAACCCCCCCCCCCCCCCAAGCCAATATAGGACAAATTAATCATTGGAAGAATAGAAATTTGAGGGAAATATCTCTCTCCCTCTCAAACTTGCATGTAAAATTGGGGTAAGAGACTTTCCAAGATTACATAAGAAGTGTAGACATGTCCTTAGCAGGTTTGGAACAAGTACTGGAAATCCTGGATATCTAGCATATTAATTTCAAGACATTGAAATTTGTTTAGTTTTACTATGTAAATTAAGGCATTCCAAATTATTTCATTTTATCAAGCATCAACTGTTTTTCCACAAATATAAATGTATGCTATTTTTTTGCTACAAAGTTTGGAGACGTACGTTTTTAGTAGCATTTCTGCTGCAGATGACTTCAAGTTCAATTTAGGTTTGAGTCTGTATATGTTAGAAGAAATACCAGAACTAGGCTTCAGATGCTCTTTTATAAGCTGTTCCAAACAACACACCGTTAATCCCATGTATTCTTGTCGTTTTGAACAGCATACCAAAGAGAGCACATGAAGCCTATTTGTGATAATTTTTCAAACATTTACAGACACTTGATCAAGAATGTGATGGAATTGCTGATGAAAAGAATTTTACCATCGTATATAGTTCCAATAGCAAACATGATGTCAGGATAAAACTGAACTCCTTTGCAATAAAACTTATAACAAAAATATTATGTGAATATTGTGTTTATTTCTTATAATGTATTTCAGTAGATGTTTCTTCTTTTAAAATGGAAACCTGCATTGAACCAGAAAAGAATGATCTTACTGTAATATAATATCACATACGTAATCTATTAGTGGATCAGACTTTAAGCCATAAAATGTGACATTGTTTCTTGCAAAGTCTTTGTTCCATTGAAAACCTGAAGAATGTTTTGTAAGAAACAGATTTTATGTTTGAACTAGAAATGTGAGAAAGGTTTTGGTAAAAGAGAAACAATGAATCTGAAAAATGATGTATGGGGATGAGATCTGTTTTTTTAAACATTACACATATTGTTTAGTGTTAAAGTTGGTTTGTGACCACAAGAAACTCAAAGTAAATGAAGATTTGTATTGTAACCAACCTAATTGTTTCATAGTTTTTATTGAGGCCTTGTGTAATTTTTTCCTTCTTTACTACAGCAGGTAGTTACACAAACAGCTCTGACTTGGTGTCAAGAGAAGAACTGTGTATGAAAATGGAAAATATTCTGAATAGCTGAAGAAAACAGTTCAACAATTATGTCTCCAAGTTAAAACGCTGCTAGATATTTCATTCAGATTCTACATCATTTTTATTCCACTGAAGGAGACTTAAAAGTTGTATTTTGTTACTAGTTTATGGTTAGCAGCAAGCTTTGAATTCATAGAGATGTGCAAAGCAGTATATTGCACTGACTTCCGAGTATTAATGCTATATAGTTTATCAGTTATTTAACTACCAGTAAGTATTTATAATTTTGAAATTTCTTACTGTGTTTAATACTATTACGAATATAATGTATACTTCTTTAAATACAAAAATCCTTGCTCTACAAAATAGTTGATATGGACATTATGTAATATTAATGTCTCGTCCCATTTTGTTTGCTTATTTTTTAATCATAAAATGTATAAATAAATATATATATATTCATAGAACTCGTATTACAGATAATTTATCACAGTTATTAAATGTAGTCAGTTTAGCTAATAGATATTCTGACAATCTGCTACAATACAGCATGAGATACCATTAAATGTTGTGTAAAAAAAAACAAAAAAGAATAATTGTGTTTTCTAAGTCCACAATATTTTCATATGTGAATGGTGATGAACTAACTTTAGGTATAATCTTAACATCCCTGAAAGATTGCATGCTTGTTATTTTACATTTATATTGGTATGAGTTAAATAACTGTAGAACTTCCAACATAAACCTAAGTATGGCAAAACACTGAAAGTGATAGACTACATTACAAATACAAAAATATTTGTAGTATGTCATATTTAACAAAAAATCATGTCTAAGTGTCAACACACCATATTTTTGATATACTCTTTTTTATGGCAGAAAATGTCTTTTAAGACAAAGTGATCTATAGTAAATTACGGTGAAGTGTGTTATCAAACAAATGCCAGTCAATAGGATTGATTTATTCAAACTTTCACCTGTAGGTGCTCCTTTCTGCATGTAAATAAACAAGTGTTAATTCATTAGTAAAGTAATGTGAAATAATAACAGTTTATTCAATATTACAGGCCCAGAGTACATGAAACACACACCCTTAAAACAGATATAATAAATAGCTACTGTGTAAAATCTCAGATGAAATGTACTTAGAATTAGGTTTATAATTGAATCAGAACAGGATCAAGATAAGAGATTTCTCATTCTTAATTATCTGTGTTTATTATGTCTAAAACCTTTTGTTTTATAGAATTTTGATATCTTTTTATGGGTAAATAACTAGAAGTTTCTAGGAAGAGTACTTCAAACTAAACCATGTTTTTCACAGAAATACAAAAAAATAATGGATATTGATTTGTCCATAAGCATTGTAACAAAAACGAACTTTACTCACCACCTCACTGAAATTCATTTTGGATGTATAGCTAGCTGATTACCATTGAATATACACAGGCTCAGTTCATTGTACTGTACATTCTATTATATGTGTACTGACAGTGGGCAACTTCAAGTCTCCCCTTCTTCTTAACAATGACATAATCGACAAGGTTACCAGAGGATGAAAACAATGAGTCAACACAAAAAATAACTGGTGCTGTATTTGTTGACCTTTCACTAGCAAATCACAAGGTGAACTTACGTAGACTTCTCTGAAAGATCACCAACTCACTAGCGTGATCTAGAACCTAACAAAACCAAAAAACATTTGTATGTTGAACTAGGAAGAAAGTGGAACAGTCTATCACAAAGGAGTATCCTAGCTTTTACCGTGTTCATTATTTATGCTAATGACGTGTAGTTTCACTTACTCCACTGATCTTGATATCACCATGCAAGCCAGCAACTTCATCCAAATCAAAGAAACCTTGTCCGAAGCACTAGCTGGGCTGACCAAATACTACTCTACCAACCAGGTCTGTCCAAACCCTGGGAAGATGCGGGTCAACCTCCCTTGCCCGCAAAACCAAGATGTAAACAGCCAGCTGAACATCAAATGGAATGCCACACAACTGGACTTCTGCTAATGTCCAGTGTACCTGGGAGTAACTTTTGAACACATCAGAAAGACCAAAACCAAAGTAAGCTCTCAGAATAAAATCATCAGGAAACTCACTAACATGAATTGGAGGACTGATCCAACAACCATCAGGATATCTGCACTTGCACTCTGGTACTCCTGTGCTGAACACACCTGTCGGGTTTGTGAACAATCAAATCATGCCAAAAATCTTGACTCCATGCTGAACGACAGCTGTTGAATCATCACAGGTTGCCTAAAGCCATCTAATACAAACAGCCTGTATTTGTTGTCTTAAATTGCCACACCAGACATCAGGAGAGCATTTGCCAGTAGAGCAAAGCAAACTCAGCAGACACAAGATAATAGACATCCTTTACTTAGCCATGTGGAAGTAATGAAGTGCCTGATATCACAAACGATTTTCTGCAGTTGGACTGAACCACTGGACATTATGGCAGAGACTACACGTGAAAAATTATGAAGACTCCACCTCCAAGAGCTTTCACACACACCAGTTGAGCATCTTAAGAACAGCAGAAAAGGGCTGGAGTACCTGGAAAGCCCTCAATCGCATGTGTTTCCAGGTCAGCAGGTTTAAGGCCAACATGGTGAAATGGGGGTACTCCAGCAGACTCACTGTTTGCGACTACAGTGAAAGGCAGATGATACAACATTTACTGTCTGCTCACAACTCCAGGTCCCATGCATGAAAGACCTTGCTGTGCTCAGCATTTGATAAGAACCATATAAGGATAGGTGGACAAGTCAAGAAAAAGAAGTGCGTGTCAAACAACTCCTTCTAGTATTTTTGTGTAAAGACCTTAGCATTGTAAAGTTAATATATTTATTTAAACATCTCATTGGATTAAGAAATTTGTGTCAAGTTACTCCTCTTGTTTCTATGGAAAGACCTTAACAGGGTAAATTGGGAACGTGTCCACTTAATCCACCTGATATATGTATACAAACATCTCATTCAGTTAAGAAGTACGTGTCAAGCAGCTCTTCACAATATACATTTATGTAACTACATCACCAAAGTCGTGTATGCTCACTAACTTCACAAACAAGAGGATTTCACCTTCTCCAATAGGAATTAGGTCACAGCTAGCAATATTTTTAAGTTATGGTGCCTACCAAAGCACATTCCAGAAGACAGCTGGTGAATAATACTAACTCGGAGAATACATAACCAAAATGAATTTTATCTCGCTCTTAAAATAAAAACAGATCACAACTTAGTGGGTATGTACTTGATTTTACATATCCATTTTGATTCTGTGGTATCGACAGATAAATTACGTCTACAGAACAGAAGAGACTACTCAAATTAGAAAATCACTGTAATCTCATGGATACCTGAGCCCTTTAAAAAAGTATGTTCATTTGGACATGCTCCCTTTGTAAAAATATTACGATATTTTACATTAATGGCCAAAACTACATGAAATACTACACACCCATACTTGTAAAACTGATATGCAGTACTAAGAAGACAGTCACATCTCACAGCCAAGACTAAAAGATAAACACTAACCAAAAAATTCCACTGCATGACTTTAAACTATCTAAAGTATATTAACTGATCCTGGCATTTCAATATTTGTCTGGTTTTCTATTAATAATTTCACAATAAATATATATATATATATTAAACATTTCAATAAAGCTATCTACATAGAACAGAACTAAAAATATATACCTAGTAATTAACATAGCTTATTCAAACTATATGACTTATAACAATTGGAATGCATTATTTCATCAGTTGAGTACCTTTGTTGTTAAAAATATATTTCTGGCCATAAACTCAATAATATCTCGCAAGGTTTGACTAGCCCAGGAGGCTTAGGTTAGTCCTAAATCAATATACCAAGCTAAGAATAAGCATTATAATAAAATGATTAACAATAAATCAAATTAGAAATAATTTAAAATAATGAAACTAAACATAAGGAATAGAACTTGTAAGATACATGTTAAGAACCAGTATTTGTGAAAAAGCACAACACCAGTATACACAACAATATAATTCTATTTAACAATGTCTCGTGGACAATGAAAGCTCAGTAAATGGCTCCAATAACATTCTAAATATATGAAACCATCTGGTAAGCTATTATGTTCAATTTTATATTCTGTACAATACAACTAAACTAAATCAAGTTACTCAATATTTGTACTTCTTCTGTTGGTTATTATCTTCAGAAAGTTAAACATAAAAAAAGAGACTTGTATGCTGGAACTTCTATAAAACAACATTCTTTTAATTAATGCATGTATTGATTTAGTGAGATAGAGACAATCTTGTTGTGTACTATTACTGTTAAAATGACAAAGGTTTTTGCTATAGCTCTATGGTTTGGAATGTTATGTTTTTGCTTAGTACGAAGCAAAAGAAAGTTTTTTTTTTAAAGAAAATCAACTCTGAAGAGTAGCATTTGACCTGAACAAAACAATTTTTATTTAACCATCACTTACAGAAAAATTTGTCTGCAGCAAGGGGAGAGGTGAACTGGACACAACAAGAACATTCACACACAATCCAAGGACTAGGAAAAGTAAAGGTAAAAAATTAGCTGCCTTGAGTGACCTCTCATAGCCATCTATTTCTGCAACCAACAATCACATGACATTACAAGCTTTCACTGACAATTTGGTGACAGAATGAACATTCACTTACATAACGGGTTGTAAAGTCAGAAGTTGTTTTAACAGCAGTATTATAGTCAAAATTTCATTCTTTAGCTTTTTTTATTCAGTTTTATAGATGTAACTGGTAAACAAAGTGGTAGACTTCTTTTCTGTTTTTTTTTTTAAAGATGAAAAAACCACGAGGACTGATAGATAGCTAATGGAAAATTGCTTTATCCTGGAATTTCTTTAAGCTTAGTATAAAAGGCTAACTTTTCTGTTGGGTTCAGAAATCTAAGGCTACAGGGAGGCTCCTGAAGTGAATGTGACAATCTAGTATCAAATGGTGATCATGTGAGCATGAAGTACAAGAAGACAGAATGATGGCAATGGTACTTACTATACAAAATGCTTACACTCTACCAGTGATGCACTGCAAACAAGATTAATTAAAAAACGAAAAATAAAACCCTGAAAAGTATTACAAAAAAGCTTTACAATATATTATAAAGACTGCCTATATGTCATGAGTATTTTATCCAACTGTCAATTTTAGTCTAACACTTATAAGGAACATGGAAATTATGAAATGCTTTAGTACTTCAATATACTAATACCGTATACAAACTTCCAAACTTTTATTTCAAAGCTCAAATCAATCACAGCCACCAAATACTAATGTACAGATTTTCACAGTTTAAACAAGTCTACCACACAGAAGCACTGGAATCAAGTTGTTTCTTAATAAAATCACGTGACTTCCTACTAACATTAATGGGCTGACTTAAAATAGTGATAAAATGATAATTAGGATATTCATAATTCTTATTACACCTTTAAAAATGTTTACATAAAATAGTAATTAAATTCTAATTAGGAGACTGATCATCCCCAGTTAACTAAATCTTTCAGAAAAGTTTACATCAGATTATGATGAAATATTAATTAGGAGACTGATCATCTATAGTCTACCAAACCTTTCGGAATGTTTACGCCAGACTGTGATAAAATATTAATTAGGAGACTGATTACCTTCAGTAAAGTTTATGCTGAATTATAATAGACAGATAATTGAGAGGCTGATTACCTCTAATCAACTAAACCATTCAGAAATGTTTAGACTAGACTACAAAAAAAGGCATTCGAAACTGATAACCTTTAGTCTTATGATTCTTTCAGAAACATTTAGTTGAGACAGCAAAAGGTGGTAATTAGTCAACTAAACATTTCTAGGTTTATATTAAGATAGTAATGAAATGTTAATTGGAAGATTAATAACAAAGTAAACTATAAAAAATACATATAAAAACCCAGACAGTAAAGTTTGGAATTATTTTAAGTAGTGTAACACCAGTTATCAACACATAAAATACGATTGCCCAAAGTTTCTAAATCAAATCAGAGAATTTTACAATCACAGGTTAATCAAGCAGCTGACCAGTTCTCCAAATTTTTAGTATTTTTTTAAGTTAAATATTAATTAGGAATTGTATCTAATACAGTAAATTTTCAATAACTGGTTGACAGCATACAATACTGAAATGCTCATTATGATACTGACCATTTACGATAAAACAAATCCTTCAAAAAAGTAATTTTTATGGGACTAATTAATTTTTAATGAGGACAATATATATTTTAAGTAGTATCAGCCTTTCAGAAATAACTGATCATTTTGGATAAACCAATCCTTTCAAAACTGGTTTACATCACGTATTAATAAAACGTTGACTAGGAAATTCTTCATAGTAAATCCTGTAGAACATCAGACATCGAGTAAAGTGATGTCTTTCTTATTATTTTACTTGCCATTCAGAAAGTATTACGAGATAAATCTGACTAAAATTATGGAAATACTTCTCAACTCATTCTAGATATTTAGTTGTATAACCCCCTCCACATGATTTTACTACATAATTAATGAAACACTGCTAATTGTTAACAATTCTGTACAGATTGAATCTTAGAAATACTTCATATTTGTATTGGTTAAAATCATTTGTTAAAATAAAGTCAAACGAGAATTTCTAAACCTCATTTTTTAGTTGAAAGTATGTTGATACAGCTGTAATATTTTTTGTCGATACATGGGTGAGAGGTAAAGATGTACAATACAATGTTTGCATTCTTTTTGAACATATCTTGTAATATTAGTGCACCTCCCATTGAGCAAGAAGTTTAACTATCTGTTGTGCCCACGTCCCCAAAAAACACATGACTAGAATTTTCTTACCAATTACCTTCCAGGTAAATACGACAAACTTTACTACAAATACTGCTAATCTTCAAAAAATTACTAAAGTAAGTTTTAAAAATCATAATGTAAATGTTAAAATTAAAAAAAAAGTAATGACATTTTAAAAATGGTTAGGGATAGTTGTTCACAAAATATTATTATTATTAACCTAAGACAGGATGTATTGTCTTTTGATTAATTAGATAAATGAAAATAATATGAAGTAATTTCCAAAGTAATTCTATAAGAATTAGTAGAGACTTAAAAACGAGAATTTCATAAAGCTTAAAAAGTTTATACATAAACTTACATTTTAGTTAAGGAAAATTTCAGCTGGTGGTAAAATTGCATGTAAAACAAGAAACTAATTTCAGTTTTTTTCTTTTATGGAGAATTTGGTAATAAATACATTCACATATAAGTAAATTAAATTTACTATTCATAGAAATTCTCTATCTTAAAAACAAAACCGAAAAATATGGATTACTTAACAGCAACATTCTGGACTGAAGTTGAATGGCGAGTAAAAATATGAAACGTTGACAAGATACAAATTATGGCATTTAAGGCATTACAAAAAAGATACCTTGTCAGTTGACTCTATCAGTTTCAATTTTAAGTGCATCAAATTACAACACAATAAAATCAACACTACTTATACCATGCTACTGAATAAACCTTTTCTTGTGGGAGTAACTACAACCACAAAACATATTGTTCCTACTTGAGGCAAGTGGTCATCTAGATCTTGTACTCTGGGAATTTTTTCTTAGTTTTCCTTTTGGCCCCAGAGATTGGCTGTGCCCCAGTTGTGGAAGAAGTAGGTGCAGGTAGTGGCTCAACTGGTCGGTGACTAGCAGGAGGTACGGAATGAAAAGAACTGGCTTCTTCTTCATAGGAATTTGTATCTGAAGGAGGGCTGGGGAAATAATCACAAGTCTCTCTCTTCAGAGCCTTCTCATCATGTTGCCTAGTATTGAGATTTCGTTCATAACTGTAATCTTTTTTCACAGTCACTGGCAGGGCTTCCTCACTAGCACTCCGAACTAAGGTGGGTGATGCATAACCACTGCCATCCTCATCGACATCCTCCTCTTCCTCTTCTCGCCCATTATCTTCCTCTTCATCTTCTTCAACTTCTGAATAAGGAGAAAAGCAATTCTCACTTCTAGGTGTGGGCCTAAAGAGTCGAGGATGATCCAAGTGATAGTGGCGGTCAGCCTCGGGCTCGCTCAGACGAATGTCTTCCGAACCTTCTGGAGATGTGTGAGGCCCAGGCTGGTGTTCCAGTTGTCGAAGGAGATCTTCTAAATTCCTAATCCTGATGGGACCACATGGAGGTACAGTTTCCTCCACTTCATCTCCACTCTCTGTCTCTAGCTGTTCTTCTGGGCTGCTGCTCTTCATAAACTGCAAAGACCCATAATCACCAACAGTCTGTCCAAATGAAGGAAGGTGCTCTTGGCATGGACTTGTCAAAGTATCAGGCTGAGGGCGGTGAGAAGACGCAGAATGGAGTGCTTCCAGTATTTCTTCATGGTAACCATTCATGCTTTTGAGATTTCGTTCAACTTCTGTAAGCTGATCACTGTCACGGTTATCAGATTGGCTAAGAATGTCCTGGTTGTCTGATTGAGAGGCTTCATCACTCCATTTTTCCTTTCCATCACCATGCTTCAAGATTCCTCTTTCAGGTACTTTGGACAGGTTATTTGGAGAGAGTTCAATAAACGTGGACATTTCATCCAAAAGATCAACCTCTTCTCCTTCAGAACATGAGGTGTTCTTTCTCAGTTGTTGACGCCTCATCTCATGGAGCTTATCCTCTCTAAAATGTAAAATAATACAACATGGACATCTTAGAGTATAAGCATGCTATGTATACTCATTTACACTTGTTTTTTATCTCTTACATTCTTGTTCTCTTCAGCCATAAAATACTGAAAGCTACAATCTGTATTTTTTATCAATCCTCTTATTTGTATTTCTCATCTTTACCTTTTACTTACATTTCTCCACACACATATTTGAAACTAGCTTTAATTTATTACCTTCATGCAATAGTTCTAAAAATTAAGATCTCCTACTTACATTTTTGTTTTCTGACCTGTTCTTCACATAAAAAGTACACTTTTAACAAATTACTTCAGATCTTCCAAAAGATTAAAACACGATTCATTATTTGAGGCAATATTTTAAACCGAATAATGTAAATAAAAACAAGAGGGAATCCTCAATAGCTGCAGCACTTGAAATTCTTTTAAGCAGAATTAAAGTAAGTTAATCTACGATACCTTTTTTCCTTTTTATTACCTATATGTTTGAGCACCAGCATTATCAAGCATGGGGCGTGCATAAACCGGATGCAGTTTTATCACTCATCAGGATCTCTACCAGCCTACCCTCAAATTGAAATTCTTTTAGGCAGGATTAGTGTAAATTAATCTATGAAACCTTGGGCATGGTCAAATACACCAATTGAAAGGTTTTAACCTTCTGAGTCCAAAACTGTAGTTAGATCTCTAATCGGTCAAGAGATGATGGAGCTATGACTAAAAATAGAGCCACACTTAATGTTTTAAAATGAAACAAAGTATAATAAAGCTAAATATACTGTCACAACGTTAAGTACACACAACCAAAAAAGTAAAGGATGTCTGCTGAAGTTCCAATAAGGTTAATAATTATAGATGTACCTCTGTTTGCTCCCCCAATTCTGCTTTCACATAAACTTTGGAATTTTAGTAGAGAGACAGTTCTACATTTTAACCCTTTAAGGTCAGGTGTGGTAAATAAACATCATGTATCTTGCTTGACAACTGGGTGAGGCAAATAAACACATATTCCTATTTATTAAAGACAGGTGCAGTTTTAAAACCACTATGGCTCTGCTTTCTTTCTTTCGTTAATGCATTTTAAGGTCATAACTTGATTGGATAAGCATCTTTATGTCAATTGACATCATCCAATGAGCCATCCAGCTACCTCTACATCATCACATGCTAGCAAATGAAATATCTATTTATAGAAGGCTGTATATACTGTAAAACAATGAGTTGTATTTGAATTAGATACATTTTTCTTTCAGTTATTTGTTCATCATGAACGAACCATCTATGTCATCCTCATTCACTCATACCAAAAAATGCCCTTTTAGCCCTTAATCAATGCGTAGAAGTATAGATGAATGGAGTGATGAAGAAGAATTGTCTGATTTGAGTGACATTCCTTCAGATAGCAATAATATTACATGGAAGAATGGAGATGATTTTGTGCCTCATGACTATTCATTCTCTAAAGTAAACTCAGGAATTTGTGATTCATTTTCTATTCAAGAGAATGCACCCATCATTGAATATTTTCTAGCCTATTTCGATAGTGAACTTATCAAGAAGATTGTAGACAATATTAATATGTATCGTGAATTTTGTGTACACAATTATGATGTACATCAAAAGGCAAAAAGCCAGCACTGGAGTGAGAGAACAATTGATGAAATGTACTCTTTTTTTTTTGCAATTATTTTACTAATGCCTCATGTGAAAAAAAAACAATAAAAGAGTACTTGTCAAAAGACACCATGATTGCTCCAGATTTTTCTGGAAGATACATGATCAAAGACAGGTTCCTTGAACTACTTAGGTACAGTCATTTTGCTGTTAATGAGCTTTCTAATGAAAATGATAGATTGTGGAAGATAAGGGAAGTGATTACTATTTTGAAGGAAAAGTTTTCTGCTTTTTTCTGTCCATTCCAAGAAATTGTAATTGATCAATCCTTAATGATAGTTAAGGGGAGATGGATATCCAAGTTCTCTGTGATTGTGAAACGGGAATTATTTTGGATTTTGTTGTTTATACAGATACTGATGTTGTCGTTGCAAAAAAGATCCTCATGGGGCTTCAGGTGCCATTGTGAAGAAACTGATACAGAAATATGAAAGGAAAGGCCACCTGTTGTACATTGATAATTGGAACTCTAGTCCTGGTCTATCTTTATATTTGGATTCACGTAATATTGGCACTTGTGGAACCGTAAGAGAAAACAAGAAGAGCGTTACCAAGTTTGCTAAGCTGAAATGTGGCGAGAAAAGTGGTAATTTGTTGGCATGATAAACATATGTGACAATGCTTACCACTTTTTGTAAAGGACAAATGGTTAACAGTGAAAAGATAAATCATAAAACAAATGAAATTGCCAAAAAGCTTGATTGTGTAATTGATTACATTCAGAATATGTGGTTTATTGATAAAGCTGACATACAACTGGCCACCATAGAATGTATTAGAAAATCTGTAAAGTGGTACAAGAAGTTTTTTTTTTCATCTGATGGACCTAGTTGTGCTAAATGCTTATAATATGTATCCAGTCAAAATGGGAGATTACCAATTGAAATTCAAAGATTTCATTAAGGAGTTTATAAGGCAACTTCTTGAAAAATATGGTACCTTGACTAGTGTTAGGCCTAGTAGAACAGTGAGTGGTAACATTGATAGGCTGAGTGCTGTAAATTTAATGGAAAGACACTATCCTGACCATGTACCTTCAACAGAAACTAAAAAAAAGGCCCAACACAGATGTTTTATATGTTCTAATACTAGCAAGGGAGAAAAAAAAAGACTACTATGTAACAACATGGTGTCCAGAATGCAAGGTTGGTCTATGTTTAGGTAGCTGCTTTAGAATTTATCATACACGAAAAACCTTTTAAAAACTTGGTTAGAATCTTATTAGTTTATAAGAGTAATGAAATTTGTTATTTTAATGTTTCTTACCATGTAAAAATGCTTAGATTGTAAATAAATGTACTTATACGATTTGTCAAATTTTTCCTTTTTTTTTCAGCCTGTGCAGGAGTGCAGCATCATGATGACCATCTTTAAAGGGCTAACATTTAAGTATTAAAATAGATTTTAAAAGAAATTCTTAGCACTGTTATTTTATTTTGCACTCCATAGAAAGTTAAAGTACAATGTAGAAGTCTAGTAAATTGGTAAAATATAACAGATGGAAGTTCATCTAGATATTTTAACAAGAAGTGAGGAATGTGACAGAAAATGCAGAAGATTATAAAACAATAAGTAGTGTACGGGAAAAGTTAGGGTTGAGGATTTAGTTCTTGACATAATCAAAGCAAATACAAAATAGAAGATGACAGGCATTATGTTTGATCAACAGCTTTTACAAACCATCACAAACTTTGGATACATTAACGTTCACTTACAATTTTTTTTTCAAGTTCTATAAAAATAAAGTCAAAGCACTTGTTTACCTGTATGAAGGCATACTTCCAAAAGTTATCATCCTACTGACATTTTCATGTGAAGATTCTTCATCATCCTTCCCAAGAGCTGATCCAGGACCACTTGTTTTACTATTTTGTCCTTTTGCAGAATCATGCTTTGGACCATTGCTTTTCCTTCTAATAAAAGCAGGAAAGACATTAGTAATATCAAATACATCACAAAAGATCAACGTGTTTCACTTTTGGTCTGGGTACATGTAGGTATACCAAATGAACCTGCATAAAAATGTCAAAATCAAAGTTTTAGATTTATACTTCACTATTCAAAACAAACTTAATGAACCATTGAGCTGACTTAAAACTATAATTTAAACTTCCAAAATACACGGAATCTCTCTCTTAAAACAAAGACTGCTATCTGACTTCCACTTTAATGCCTCTTACACTGGATATACTGAGTTCCACCTACAAAGTTCAAACTAATGGACACATAGGATTATAAGAGATCTGTCAAATCTTCCTCTTCACAGTAACATGGTGAAAACTCGGTATGTATTATTAATTTAGCCAGTTTTTCCCATGCTAACCATAAGTGATTCTAAGTTTTATCTTTTCTTGAGAAATATATTAATAATAAAAGATCACCTTATTCTTCATAATTCACACATTTCTTTTAAATGAAATCTGTTATAACTTAGTGTAAATTATAACTGACTTGATTTACTTGTGTGCATATAATTTTCATAATAAAGTAAATATTTTACATTTTCTTTTAGAATACTTCTGATTTAATCAGCTTAACTCTAGATGGTTTAATAAATATAGTTGTAAGCTATACAAGATTTATACAGTATGTAGAAACAAAGATACAATACAAATATGAGTATTAGTGAAGCAGTGAGTTAATGAGTTTATCCATTCAGTGCTTTTATTCAGTGAGAAAGCTAAATGGTGAGTTAGTTAGCATGTTTATTATCAATACAGTAGTAAGGAAATTCTTGCAAGTCACTTAGGCTCTTTTTGTGAGTAAGGCATACCATTAGTCTCAGAATTTCTGTTTAAATACTGTTTGTGAAGTTAGGCCTACAACTTATGTCAAAATCAACACAACCCATAGCAAATGTTAGTGAAGAAATAAATTAATTTTTTATTGTTACATGGATTGGAGTTGACATTATTTTTACTAAATACTCCAAAGCAGCCCACCCAACAACAACACAAAAACATTACAATATGTTTTGCAATGCTGCCTACACAAGCCTGTCTATTGATAAACTAGTAAATATAATAAGTATGGTAAACAGAAAAAGAAAAATCAGCATGCTGGTAGAAAAAATGGCAAACAATATTTAAATTGTTAGACCAGCATAATAAGCAGCAAATAAATTAGACTACTATCTGAGATCAGTACACTCAGTAAATAACAGTATAATAATACTTGAAATCAACAAGCTCAGTAGGAAACACAGCAAACAATAACTAAAACTTCATACCAGCATAACAAATAAATAACACAGTAAACTAATATCTGAGATTGCTCAGTAACATGGTAGACACTAACTAAAACTTCATACCAGCATAACAAATAAATTACACAGTAAACTAATATCTGAGATTGCTCAGTAACATGGTAGACACTAACTAAAACTTCATACCAGCATAACAAATAAATAACACAGTAAACTAATATCTGAGATCAGTATGCTCAGTAAGTAACATGGTAAACAATAAATAAAATTTCACACTAGCATGATCAATAATTAACACAATAAACTAACATCAGTAGTTAGCATGCCCAGTAAAACACATGGTAAATAGTAATTAAAATTCAGACCAACATAATCAGTAAATAACACAATAAACTAATATCCAAGATCAAAATGGTCAGTTGATAAAAAACTAAAAACTAAAATCCCAATCCATCATTTGATTTATCAGTGTAAAGTAATAAAAACACATCTCAAAACATCATACACGTGATATACGCTCCACCACTATATGAAGCCTAGTCATATTCTTTTGATTAATCCTAGTCAAGGGTCATTTATGATGGGTGGAACTCCACGAAACTTGTATAACTCCATAACAACTGATGAACTGAATGATAGATTCAACTTCACATTGTTTTGTATTTGTAAGTAGTTTTCAATTGAATAATTAAAAAATGAATCATTAGCATCAATGCTACATATTCTTAAAATGCTATACAGGATCAATGTGGTGAAAAAGGTAGCTCATACATAATCATCAGCAGATTACATGTAATACTAGTATCTTACACAAATCAGTAACAAGTAAAAAACATGGTAATCTAACATGCTAGAATTTGCTATATATTTATAATTATACTTGTATGATATTACTTATCAACTATAACCTGTGTTATCAGATAAAAAAGTGTATTTTTGATTTTATTTAGTTTGCATACAAATTATTTCACTACAATTAGTGTTAGGGTAGAATTTATTTATTTATTTGTAGTTAAGCACAAAGCTACACAATGGGCTATCTGTGCTCTGCCCACCATGGGTATCAAAACCCAGTTTCTAGCATTGTAAGTCCGCAGACATACTGCTGTGCTACTGGGGGGCCTTAGGGTAGAAAGATAAAAGTTTTATTGAAAAAAAACTTGTGATACTCAGTTACAATGTTCTAAAAGTTATGCAAATAAATATGAAAAACTCTAGGATGAAAAAAGTATTTTTATTCTTAGCATGGAAGTCACCTTTCACTCATAGACAAATCTTTAATATCCGATTTATTTTCGTGTAAACAGACTTGTAATGTTTACTAAAAGCTTGTAAAATTTCCTGAAGATACAATTATCAAATTCAGAGTTATGGTATATATATAGTTTCATGATAGTTACAAGTTTATTTAGATAGAATTTACAATGAAAGAGCAAGAATGAAGACAGAAGTTCCAGTAGAGAAATAACCTCGTTAGCTGAGTTAACACCTGACATATTGTGGTTTATATACAAGTTACTGGAAAGCCATCCCCTTAAATGTGGCTTATTTCCAAGCTTGTATGAGCTGTATAACCATAAATATTTCATAAGTTTTATATGGAGCATTAGAAACTGTGCTAGAGAATTTCACAAACTGAACCATATACTAAACAAGTTGTCTGTGTGTTGAAAAATAAGTGTTTATTAAAGTTAACATATGTGCAACAAAAACTTACCTATAGCATGTAGCAAGAAGAGCAAAGAAAATGAAAACTCCACCCACAACTGACACCAGGACAATGACCAGGGATGATGCACTCAAGGAATCTTCTTTTTCAACTGAACAAGCAAACCAGTTTAGTGCAATTTATGTGCACAAAAAATTCTATAGCAGATTAAACAACAAAGTTTTCTAAAAAAACTAGTTATTAGAGAGAGAGAGTTGTGTAATGGTCAACTCTTTCTTGGCCATGGGTTGGAAGTAATGGCACTGTTATGTACGACTGTATACGTTAACAAAATCTGATTATCTTTGATACCAATCATTATATCAGAAATAATAAAGGAGCTACAACAGAATTATATGCTTCTCATATATAATAAAATAGTTCAGGCAACCCATCAAAAGTGCCCTAAGATAATAATTAATTTGGGAAACCAGCTGTGTACATACTACAGACTTGATTCAAGAGGAAAATCATTAAGAACACCAAAAACAAGATACAGTAACGTTTTATTCACCAGGGCAAATCTTATAAATTGCATGAAATATACATTACTTTATTAGGTAGTGCTTTGCAATTGGAAGTCTAGCTACCTAGCTATTGAATAAAATATATAAGATGATAAAAAGGTTATTACAGTACCTTTGCAGGAATTGTTTTTATCATTCAGTAGTTTAACCACACAAACTCCTGCCTAGGATGAACAGGTATCTACCAGATTTCATAACTCTACAACACTTCAGTATCTTGAAAAGGTATTTTACTAGCCATAAAAGTAATCATAGGAGGAGGAAAAACACAACCCTCTTGAACCATGTACATTAGCAATTAATTGTGCAACTACCTCTAGTTTGCCTAAGCTAGTATTAATTTCCAGTACTAAAAATTCAGTAATACCCCCCCCACACACACACTTTACTTAAAAAAAAAAAAAAAAGTACATTCATACCATATTTGGTGGTCCCACTAGTACTATTCTTCCAACTATTCTGTACTTTTGTATCTTTTTCAGTTGGCACTGGTGGAGGGGTGGTCACAATATCAAAAACCTTTACTCTTTGACTACAATCCGGTGATGTCCATCCTTTTTGACAGTGGCAAGTGTTGACATTAGAGCAAACCTAAATTAATAGAATCTCTCTTACTGCACATGATTTAGTTTTTTAGAATACTAAACCAAAATTAACAGACCTACCACTTACTGAATAATACACTGTTGTAAGCTGTATTTTCAATGTTAGCTAGAAGTGCATAAAGATGAAATAAGTTATAAAAGTAGTCCTAGATTACTTAGAATGTTTGTGAATTTTAGTGATTGAAAGACTTTGTGAAATGTCTAGAAACAAGGCTACATTATAATTATGAGAATAAGTGAAGCAATGAATCAGTTTTCAGTTGGTAGAGTGGCAGTCATTCAGTGAATTATTTGAAGTATCTGTGTTAGTTATCAAGTATATTCAGTTACTTGATTGATTAGTTATGAAATTCTGTAAGCAAGCTTATTTGTATTCTAGTTGTAGTACTATCAGTGAATAAATCTCTGTTGAAAATGAAAATGTTACCTGTGAACATAGGCTCATAAGTACAACTGTGTATAAGTGGTAGTAACTTGTAGGTTAAAGAGGAAATAAACTAATTTGTTATTGTTACATGGACTGGCCTTAGCATTATATTAACCAAATACTTTAAAAGATCCCACCCAATCAAAGAACATGTTACAACAACACTGCTGTCAGAAGTGGTATTATGTTGGTGAAAATGAAATATAACTTAGCTTAATTTAAACATGTGTAGGATAATCAAAATCTAAACTGACATAGCAACCCTATACAACATGACTAAAAACATGAGCTGACGTACTTTTCCTTGGACTAAAAACCCGACCCAATTTAACTAATCCAAATTATATGACTCAATTTTCTATGTATAACATATATATAATTTTTTTTCCATCATATCTAGCAATAGTTTTTGTGTACAGCAGTATCAAATCTGTAACTCTTTCTGTGCATGTAAATTTCTTATGAATAAATTATAAGTCATTTTGTAAGCTACTACAAATTATATTATTTAACTTACAGACTGGTAGCATCTTAATGTTTCTGAAAAAACCTAAGAATAAAATAGAACTGACATTTACATATAAGTTTAATAATTAGTTTGCAATGCAGTTACAGGTAACATGCGAAGAATACAAAAAAACATGATGAAAAACTTACACCATGTCCAGAACAGTTTAGAGCTATATTGTTGGTTGGACAGGTTCCAGGACTTCTGTATGTAATGACATCTACACATGACTGGTTGATACAGATCTGTCACGAAATACAAGTAAATCCTGAAGAATACAGACACTTACAAAAAATCCTATATTAAGAGTCTGACTAATTAACTTAGTGAAGTTTTCTCATCTTTCAGGCAGATGTTTATTTAATGAAAACCACGTATTTCAGAGAGAGAGATAGATTCTTGTATACTGTTACTACTTATTAAAACACTTTAAGGCAGAGAATTATGGGATATATATATTTAAGGTCTAAATAAAACTATTCAAATGTTGTTTTTCATAAGTAAAAAGTTACTGTGCAAAAAATAATAACAAATCTTCTAGAGATTTTATAGTATATAATGTTAAATATATATATATATACACAATACAGATATACCAAAACATTTTTCAAAGTCTGATGTTGATCCAATTAGTCGGTAATATTAATTGAAAAAAAGAAAAAAGAAGGTAAAACCAAAGGTTTCTAATGATAACATTTAGTTTAGATATCATTAAGGAAACACTTTTAGCTTTATGTTACTTAAGTTACCATATTTCAGTTAACTTTCTGTATACAAGCTTGCACATTTTGACCAACCTTGTAACCACGAAACTATATATAACTTTAAATGTACTAAATGTTTACAACCATCATTTTCAAGATAATTTTCCAAAATACTTGAAATAATTTTAAAGATTTTGATACTTATATTGTTTTGTAGCTCAGATCTTTAATGATGGTGAATCTCTTGATGCTTGTTTAACATTGTCGGTTGACTGGCTTAAAACTACCATATTTAAATAACTTTCCTAAATCTTCTTGAACAATTTAACAGAATATTTGTCTTATGTTTGTCCTAGATATAAAATGATAAAATTAATAATCATAATAATAAAATGTTAAAGGGGGCCAGGCATTGTACCTATTAATGGAAGGACGTCTGGATTGAAACAAAAGTGATTCCTTATATTTTCTGTCACGGAAATTGTCACAAGTTTTTAAAATTTTGAATGTATATGGTGTCCCATTGATTGTGCCGTGTTCTTTTAAGTAATGTTCATAGGTAGCTTCTTTGTTATCAAGATTTCCAGTGGCACAAATGGGTTCTTTAACATTTTATTATTTTATCTATTTTTATGTTATTATTATAATTTTATCTATTTTTATGATCAACAACTCAAAATTGTTCGACTATACTCGTATCACGTACACTTTTCCGTTATATATTGTTGTAGCTGTATTCCATTTTCGGTTACTGTAATTTATAATCAGTTTGTAACCTGTGACGTTCACAGAACCTTGATAAAGGTGTAAGCCGAAATGTCGAGTACAAGTAATTAAACATTTTTCTCAAGTTGTTTGTCGTCTTCATTAAATAATTTATCTAAATAGTTTTTCAGGTTCCAACACATATATATCATGTTCAGCATTAAATGCCACTCTTCTACATGTAAGAAACAATTAACTCAGTAAAATGTAACAGCTTCCCTAGTCTTATTAATGTCAGTTTAATCTAGCTACAAGATGAGTGTGAAGATGATAAAGATGTCTAGCTGTAGGATGACCATGGAAATGAATAAGATGCTTAGCGGAAGAATGACAGTGGAGATTGCCATATGCTACCAAATAGAATAGCTTAACAACAAGATAATGACTGTGGAACTGGAAAAAAATGCTACAAAAAAGGAGCAACTATATATTACAATGATCAAGATGAATACAGTTATGTGACATTATCTGAGAACACATTTAAATCAACATTATTAATATTTATTTCCTTACCCGATTTTCACCACATTTGCTGCCATCTGCTACCATACCCATGTCAGGAATATCTTTGGAAATTGTTCCACTTGTGATCCTGTAAAAGAAAGACATACCATCATATCAAAATAAACTATTACAACTGTCAAAAAAAACAAGGTAAATAAGCCAGACAATTGTGCATCCATCATTTTATGATTCATCTTATTACAAACTCATTCTAAATACATATCTAATTCAATTTATATTTAAAGTTTATGAAATTAATAAAGAGTCACAATATAATAACTATTAATTATTCAATGTAACCAAAAGTGGGAAACTGAAACATACTAACTAATCATAAACATATCACAAGGTCAGGGATACGATATAAAAATCATTAATCATACATATACATAAAGAGTAAAAGCAGCCTTTACAAGCACTCTATTTAAAAAAAATATTAAAAAAATTGAACTTTAATAATATAGGACTTATATTTCTGTATATATACAATTTTACTTTGAAATACAATGTACTGGATTACTATTATGTGGTACACAAATTAGAATTATTTTAAATACACTGCTAAAGAATAAAAAAACCTGTATGTTCACATACAATAATTTTAATCCCTACTTACTTGCATTCATACTTAACGCCTTCAATTGAAGCTATGGTCCGGGTGTAGTTTGCATTCATGCCTGAAATCAGAGGACTAGCTGCCCCTCGTTGGCACTGGAGAGATCCACAACGCATGTTGCTGGCAGAAACAACATTTCACTTATACAGAAGAGACTAAGGCTTTTGTAAGAGAAACCAGCAGCATTACACAATTTAATCAAACTTAATTTTTTTCTGCACATAAGAAAAGCTGAAATATTATCCTCTGTATCACTCTCTCTGGTCAAATATATGAAACATTTATCAAAATAAGGAAATGTTCATCTAGTTATTAATTATAATATATAAAATTTCAAACTGCAAAAACATTACAAGAAAGTTTTTCAGGATTTTATTACTGCTTGGTCAATGGTAATGTTAAAAAAGTCCAAAAGCAAAAAGACTGGATGACATAAGGATTACCGTATTTGACGGCATATAGGACGCACTTATTTCCCAAAAATTTGGCTCAAAAAATCGCCCTGCGTCTAATCTGCAGACTAATCTTCTTCCTAACGCTCACTATCCTAGCATACGATCAGTATAGCATTCCAACTATGAAATAAGAAATAGGAAATTTGCATAGGCCAGACGCAGTCGAATTTTCAGCATCCTGTTAAAGGATGGAAGGTCTATCTCTTAAAAGTGCGAACACTTGTCCTTTCAGAAACAAGGTTTCGTCACGTCGTTTTATCTTTACTGTGAAAATTGATATAGCGACCAACTTGTGTCAACAACTCGAAAAATGCACGACCAATCAGTGTTTTAGTTTATGTTCAAGTGTTTTCTACTTGTGTAATGTGCTGTTAGATTACTTTCACCAATATATGCTTAAATACACTAAAAACTTTTTTTCCTGAATCTGACCTGCTGAAATGGGGGTGCGTCTCATATACCCATGCATCCTATATGCCATCAAATACGGTATATTCAAAGACAAACATTTCTAAATGTTTGACAACCATATCAGTTTAGAATATATATATATTTCAACCATAATCTGTTTTTACTGTTTAATACACTTAGAAAATGTTTCTTACTCTGGAGAACAGCTTATGAAGCCACCTTTGCCATCAGAACCGCAATGTCCACTAATTATACCCTGCATGTTGAACTTAAAACATTCATCCTGCGCAGTAACACCACCTGGAAAAATGAAACATACAAAATCAATAAATAAGGTACCAAGTTTCATACAAGTAATAAATAAATAAAGAATGATAGTGTGAACAACTGGTAGAGAGTTGTACTAAATAAATGTCTTTACACGTGAATTTATTTATGGCTAAATAATGTATGAGAAAAATATTACAAAAATTTAATGGCATTAAAATGTATTCAAATAAAGCATCTACACAATTTAACTTTAAGCATTCTGTACCAGATTATATATTCAACCGAATTTCTTAACACATCTAATCCATAATAACCGAACCACTAGACCTTAATCTGTAGCCTTGCAAGCTTTATTGTGTTTTAAATAAGACTAAAGTTTCAGGCTGGTGAGTTTTACTATGTTTTCAAAAAACATTAACCTAATCTGTTGAGTGTCGCGGTATTTTAAAATAACACCATCTTTGATCTGGTGAGTCCTACACTCTTTTAAAATAAAACTCTCTCATTTCTAATATGGTGAGCCTTTCTATAAACAAACATAAAATGACTCTTTAACTACATCAACCTACAAGGCTTATTTTGCATGTTTGTTTAAAAGGAAACATCTTATTCACCATAGCCCCATATGTAACTACACTGTTTATCTGTAGTAGGACAATTTCCTTGGAAACAGTAGCCATTTCCATCTGCACAGCTATCACCATTTTTTCTGTACAAGTTAGGTGGACACTGTAAACAAATATGATTGGATGAGAAAACATGGGCTACAGGTATTTCATTACAATAATCGTCACACTATTCTAAATGAAATGTTGTCTACTAATATTGTATAAACTTCTGATATAATATTTAGAAACAAGACAACAAAATAAAATTAATTTTTGTTACCATTTACAAAATACTTTCAGATTTCAAAAGTAAACATGCAAAATTTAAATTTGATAAATTAACAAATCAATAATAATAATAAAAAATGTACCAGTAATTACAGATATGGTAAACAGTAATTGTTTAAAGAGGTGTAAAATACATTTCAGTCACTTTTTAAATAAAAAAAATATACATATAACAATCCCATTTTAATCTGAAACTATAAATAGTTAAGGCATCAATTTTGAGTACTTGGTTCAAACAAAAATAATATGACAAATGAATTGTCATAAGAGCACTACAGAACATAACAGACTACTGTGACTAATGTACAAAAAAGTCATCATATTATCTTCAACTAGGGTGGGAAAAAAATTAACTTACCTGACCACTTTTACCATCACAAGCCTCAGGAATATCACATTCTGTGGCTACAGGTCTACACACTTGACCAGCAGCTCGAAGCTAAAAATACAAAACATTCTAGGCAATATAAAACTTTTACATTTAAAAAACCACCATCAAATTACTTCACATTGTTAGATTAAAATGTAAAGTATCAACCCAATCAGTGTAATACATAATTTTGGAATATTCATAATACTATCTTTACACATAATAAGAACAAACCTAATACAGTAAACATTAATAGGTCACTTAACAGTAATTTAACTTGAACAAAAAACAACATAATAAAAAGTAGCCTTCACACAAGAACCAAACTGAATCTAATGGTTGTTATTTTAGATATTCCTTGGATTTTTTTTGACATGAAGAAAACCCTACTATTACAATAAAGCATGAAATAACTAGTCATCCTTACACCTTCATACCACATCGAACAAAATGAATCTGCCACAGTAAAAAATCTAGAATATCCATAAGTTATATATGAACATGGAATATTTAAAGACAGTGATTGCATTAACACAGTACACTACGAAAGATACACCAGTTTACCCTAAAAATATTTTCAGTCCCCAGTAACTTTACTGGTTTTTATGAATATTATCATCTCGTTTAAAGTAATAGCAATAGTTAATTTTCTTCTGTCAGCCTTCTTAAATATTAGATGGAGTACTAGTGCTCAAAAATGTAAAACAAAATCATCCATTAACTTGAAACCATCATTTGTTGCTTCATTAAATTAGCACATATTTCTATCATAGTTCAGAATAAGTTTATGATGATGGGTTAGAAAGTACATCAACCTAGCTAGTAGCATAGGTATTGGGTGACAACCATAGAATGAACAAACCACTGTTTACTCCTTATTAACATAATGCTAATATCCTCAAAAATCACAAATATTGGATCTCTTACAACAAGCTACCACAACTTAAATTTTGCATTGGGTTTATCATGAAAATTATTCAATGACACGTAACACAATATGTAAACAGAACAGGAATACTAATTTAGAGAGAAAAGTGTTTTGGAGGATTCATTTATTAGCTAACTCAGTATGAACTTCTTTTATAGACATGTACATGTAACTCACAAGGAAACATTCATACTACAGCTTTACACTTGAATATTATTCTAAGTCTTAAACTGACGTACAAAGTGATTTTCCTTAAGGATGCACAGTTTTGAAAGTCGGATTACATTGAAATGTAAAAAATTAACTGTTACTATATATCTGTAATATCATCCATAAAAATACGTAATAAAATAATGAAGTGTTTTATTTGTTATTGAAAAAAATTGCCAATATGCTACATTATACTGAATTTATAAGCCTATAACTTACACATAACAAATATTCAAAATGAAATGTTGTCTACTAATATTATACAAATTTCTGATATAATATTTAGAAACAAGACAAGAAAATAAGATTAATTTTTGGTACCTTTTACAAAATGCTCACTTTCAGATTTCAAAAGTAAACTTCCAAAACTTAAGTTTGATAAAATAACAAATCAGTAAAAAAAATACTAGTAATTAATTACACATATTTAGACTTTAATTGAAAATCACATATGAATGATGGTAACCAATAGCCAAATAAATCGTTAATGAAATGCAAGATAATTTGGGTGTTGGACTAAAAAAGTGTTATTTTGTTTAGTAATGGTTAAGTTTCTGTTATGCAAGATCACATGAAAGGGAGGATTCTGTCTTTACTTTTGGTCCTTTCTCAAGCGGCCAGTAACGTACGAATGATAAATTTTGAGGAGATATAATATCTTTAGCAAAAATACAGTAAAAACTTTGCAAGATGTTTGCTGTAATGAACTAGCTACATTAAAGAAGTCTAAATCAGCTAGACGGTAGTCTCTGTGAAAGAAGCTCAGAAATGTTTTCCTGCTACTGTTCTATCACTGTAATATATTGAAGGGAAGGGCAAAGATAGGAATTTAAGTATGTGTAAATACAGATGTGAGTTTACTAGAGGTACTAAGCTATATTAAACCACTAAACGGTATTTAAACTATTATAACTACAAACTGTTATTTCCAACCTAAAAACCATTTAAAGCTACTAAACATGAACAGAATCTTAAAATAAAATTGGACCTCTGCATCAGCTGATAATGTTTCTGCTGGGGTTGATAGAGCATCCAACAAACAACTTAGTCTTAAATGTACAAAGGTGTTACTTTAACAAATATGAGGCAACTGTTCTCACTACTAAAGTAAAATTTATAGACTGTGTTGTTTTTCCAGAGTGGTCTTAAGACATAGTTCATAAACTGAGTCCTGTAAGTCGAGGATTCTCAACTTTTTGCACAATAGCAAAAGTCCACATACAGAGTGTGGACTTGTTTAGTCTAAGGTAATTATAGTTATCCCAGCTCATAATTTTGCATCTCGCAGCCCATTTGTTGAGAATTACGGCTTTACTTTATTCAAGTGAAAAGGCTAAAATACACAGGTTTGGTACTCTTGATAGAGTTGTAGAGACTATTACTCACTTCAAATTAAAAAGAAATGTAAGTAAAAGAAACTAGATATGTTTTCTAATGATGTCTCAGCTTTCTGTAAGATTGTGATTAATGAGCTAAGCAATATTTATCTAGTCTAGTTTAGTAAACTAGCTCTAACAATGTGTGTTAGTTGTATTCCTTGTGAAAGATGTTCATCTTGCTTAATCATTTTCCAGACCAGTAGAGTTACATACTGTCTCTCTTGTTCTCGTGTTTAAAATGCTTAACCTAATTGCAGGATATGTTGTAGATACTTTTAACTTAATAGCTAGTTTGTGCTATGAGAAAAATTACATAATTTTGTGTAGTATTTGTAGAACATTTTAGGTTGTGAAATTTTGTTAGGAGATGCAGTTTTTAAAAACTGTTAAAAAATACTTTCTTTTATTTTTGAGGTTTTTGTATTGTGTGTGTGTGTGTGTGTGTGTGTGTGCCTAAAACCCAAATACAGTTATTTTTGCAAGAAATTTATAATTGTTGTGTTGTGTTCCTTTTTTTTTTGTAACCCATGAGTTTTAACTTGTTTTCTTTCCATCAATTACTTATCTTTACCTACTGAAGTAGTAAGGCAAAAATATCACAAAACACTAATGAACGATAAAAGTTTTAACCAGTAGAAACACAATCTGGATTCGTATCCTATGACTACACTGATACAGGTATAATTTTAATTACTACATTTTTGTTTACAGGGTCTACAATGCGAGGTTTTTGGCTGGGAGCCTCTCTTTTGTCAAATGCAGCAAATGAAGATTCCAGAAACCGAATGTTTGGATAAGAAAATGGAAGGAAGCCTGTGTAAGTTGCAAAAAAGTATGACACAAAAAAAAGCAGCAGCGGATATGGAAACTGAACAAGTTATTTAGTGGACATCCAATAGAATTCGAGTAGCCTAATGCACACTGGAACAAACACATTTAATGAAGAAAAACAGCCAGAAACTCTGCTGAACACAAGGCCAATCTTAACAAACAGCTGATGTAACTCAAAATAATAACAGTGTATATTTGCGTATCATTAACATGTGACCATGTTATCAACAATATGGATATAATAATAAACTTATAATAAGAATATAAACACAGTGCAGAAAATATTAACTTAAAAGTAAAAACAAAACATACGTAATGTAAACACTCACATATAATTTGTACAGGTAAACTGTAAATGTAGGAACAATCGTATACACAACAATGTATTAAATTTGTAATGATACTGGCCTCTTTACAAAGCAACAATCAGCGTCCTTTTATAAAATTACCTACAGAAAAGTGACTTTGTTAAAAGTAACTATGGAACACCAACTTTAATCTAGTAGCATCTACAGAATATTATCTTTACCTTAAACTTTATAAATGCATCTATAGAACATCAACTTTAATCAACAATTTGCAAAAGTTCTTATGAAACATTACACAAGTACATGATGAACACGAAATATAATTCATGAATCAATTATCACTTTTTTGAATATTAAATCCTACCTTACATCTGTCACAACAATCACCCATAGCACATTCTGCCTCCATTTTTAGTTTACAGGTAATTGGGTCACAGCATGGGTCATTTTGCTTACAGTCCTACAGAAAAAAAATATGACATAATCTTGAACAAGACTAAAATGTTTTTTGTAGTGTTACACTGAGAAACAAAAATAAATAAAAATATCAGTGTGCTCGACAAAGCTAGTGTATCCATGTGAAATACACATATTGTTTGAGAGAAAGATGTCTTTTTTTTATCTTACATATATCAGTTACAGATGTATTATCACTGAAATGCTACAATATGAATTCCTGTGCCTATCATGCTTAAAAAAAATGTAAGCCACAACTACAAATGTAACAATACATTGAAGTATTGAGAGATTGCAATTATGAACATCCCAATAGTAATGAATTATTGGTAAATTTTAGAATTTATAACAATCGCTAATAGTACCCCCAACTATCGATGTTCTCGAACGTTTGCAAATTTGATTATTTACCTCCATTCTGTTTGTTTTAGACTAGCTTTAGGGTATCTACTCATATATAAACCTAAAAATGCATGTATTATATCCACCATTAGCAGTATTCTGAATAAAATATCTGCATGAAATGTGATATTCAGGATAAGGATAACTTGTATTTCTTTTCATTTGAAAGTTTCATATTTTATTTGCATAATCTCTAGAACTTCCTAAGTGAACATCAAAAGTTTGTTTTTGATAACATTGTAAATTTATCTGTAGATTTCTCTACATAAACAATGTACTTAATTCCAGGGTCACTAAAGACATAATCCAAGAATAATCAAAAGAATGATTAAAAAACATGAAATAAATTGATTAACAAATTATTTTCTTTTCTGTATTGGCCAAGAAATTACAAGTTACTTAGATATACAGGTTAAACCTGCTGTACGGAGTAGTACTGCACAAACAAAATGAATGTTTCTCCAGTGAACACAAAAAAAAAACTATTATACCTTTTAAGGTAAAATCTTTTATTCATTAAATAGATTTTAAAGTTTTTAATCCAGTAATACTTTGAATAATTTTTCAAAAGATGATAAAGAATTGAGTCTTTAGTTTTTGGACAGAGACAATCTCATTTAGATACTTATGACAGTATAAAAGAAATGAATTCAAAAATTTTCTTAGAAAACATTTGCAACTGACATCAGAAAGACAATAACAATGGTAGTCTTTTTTCCACAGGGACTTGATGTAGGAGCAAAAAAAATTGTAAGAATGTAGCAAATACAAAAATGATTATTGACTCAAATGTGGATAGAGTTAACGAAAGGACAAAATTATTAAATGTACGTTCTTCTTATAGATATATACAATTGGTCTTTATCTGCTTAATTGCAACAATATTGATTGCTCTCTTTAAGCAGACTGTGCATGGGGAGTGACAAATGAAATATACAGAAATAAATCACTGGTTGAAACTTGTCACATCTTGACTGGATGCAGTATTAGTAAAGAACTTTAAAACGTCAGTTGAAAATAGATAAATGTTGAGTACTTCTTCAGCCAGCCTGAATACAGTAATAACAAATATAAAACTAATTTTAACACAGAAATATGACTGTAGGTCCATTTTTACATCCAGGCTTGAATTAGTAGAACAAACATTGAATGTAAATATATATATATATATATATATAAAACCCAATATGTGTAATTCTGTCACATGCAGCATGTGTTTATTCAAAATAAAAAGAATTAATTGCAAGATGATGACGAACAACTGTATGAAGCAGAAATTTACTCAACCCCAATAAAAATGTTCAGCTTTGAATCTGATGTTTCAGAACATAAAGTTCTTTAACATTATTAAAAACTGACTACCAAAGGCGTAAAAAGTTCAATTGATACAAACAATTCAGTTGAAAAAACATCTACAGTACCTCAAAATTTCCACAGTCACATTCCTCCTCTCCTTCTATTTTACCATTTCCACAATCAGTAAAATCATGTAACTAGAAAAATAAAATCATTTACTTTACTGTCTGACGAGAAAGAAATCAAAAAGTTTAGTAAAAATTTTATACGAATGTAACCAAACAAATCTATGTAAAGATTGGGTTGACCAAAGATGTTCTATTCATTACACTATTTACAAAAAAAAAAAAGTCTCATTATTCTATAAAGTATCATGATACTTAAAACATATGTTCTTTACAAGTTTAATGTCTTATGAAGATAATGAGATCTGACAGCAATGTACTATACATTAAACCTGTTTCATTATTCTATAAAATATCATGATCCATATAAAGACCATCCATATTCAGTAAATATAACATCTGATGAAGATAATAAGATCTAACAAAGATGCCTAACCATGTAACTACTGGCCAATTGAAACTTTTTGTTTGAATATCTTATGAGGATTGTTTGATTTTGTAGTAACTTAATAAATTAACATTTAATGACACTATATAATGAGAAAGATAAACAAAGAAAGTGCTCACAGGCATACTTCACTGAACATGTTCAATATAGAAATAAGTTATATTTTAAGAAAATACAGCTAAGAAAAAATTAGTTTTAAAACAGATATACAGTGATGGATTCTAATAAAAATTTTGTTTGAAGTATATACACGCAGGTTCTATTGCTCTACAAACATAAGCAATATACAGAGGAAACTTGTTGGGTGTTTGTACTGTACGATGAATAAAACTTCAGAGAATAAAATAATCAAGCATCAAATACTTGATTATTTGTTGTTAATTTGTGTAGCTTTTTACTTGTATAAAACACACTATAAAAATAAGTGTTTATGAATTAAAAATTAATATTGACTTGATCTCACTAGGATTACATAATTTCTCCATCTGATATTATTACTTCATTTTTGTCTATTACACTAACATTTGGAGTAATTAAAATGCGATACAGAAAACATTTATTTACTACAAAGAATAATATTTAATACAAAAACTTCTTAACATTTAGGTATTCTAATATTCAGCATGTCTAATACTTTAAGCATTAATGTAATCTCTATAATCAAAATGTCCATAATGTGAACATTAATTTAAACTTTCTTCATACCTACTCCTGGTTAACTGAGCAAAAACATCTAAAAATGTTAAGTTTACACATTTTTATTCAATACTTCGATGTAAATGTAAAAACCAACCTGATTAGGTTTATTTAAAAGACAGATAGCATGCCCAGACTTCAAACTATACACATATTTCTCTTTACTACAGGTGGAAAAATGATATGGCTGGATCTGATTTTTTCCTCTGCACAAAAACACCCATAAAATGTATTACTGGAAATAATATAGACATAAAACACAGCATAATATGATAACTAATGAATATCCTATAAAACATAAGTCAGAAAACACTATTCTAAAAATTATAAAGAAATATTCATTTTCAATGATATAATAATAAATAAATAAGATTAAGTAGAAGATAATGAAAAAAAAATTAACTTAATTTAAGCTTACCATACTTGTTTAGCAGTAAGGAATTCTATGATAATTTCAATGTTAGGTTTAATCAGTACTGTAATCATGCACATAAAATTCACAGACTTTTCTTGAATTCTGTTTCAAACAGAGACAGACATTATCAACAAATTTATAGTTTGATTACAACAAAACTACAATTCAATGATAATTTAAATGAAAATACAATTTTTCATATTATCTGTATTATTAAACCTCCCATTAAAGCTTTTGATCAAGAAGCTCACTAACAAGCATATAATATCCAATAATTTTTGCAACTTATAAAAAAAAAAAGTTAGAGTTGACTATTACAGAGAAAGTTCATCTCAGATTATAGTTGCGTAATGTTTAACTAGCAAGTCTAGATTCACAGAAAAGCCTATTTTTTGTGGAATAAAAACACTGTATTAATAAATACTATGTGATTTTGCGATTGCGATTTCACAACTATGTGTAAAACACTTTAAAAACTAAATAATACAGACATTCATTAGCTGAAACAAACACATATTAATCATTTATCAATCATACAAAATTAGGTGCAAAGTTGGGAAGTCAAAATTGAAATCACAATGACCTGATGCAATGATAGTGTTGTATTTCAGTGTTAATTAGACAAAGAATGAGGTGAAAGGACTGTGACCACTGTTTATAATGAATTAGTTAACAGTTTTTTATCACTTATTTTTGAGAAACTTTGTAAATTAAATAGGAAACCCATCATAAAATAAATTGTTTCTAACTTCAGCACACAAATTATCAAAAATCCAACTTACAATACACTTGCACTCATTATGCAACCCCACCAATCCTGGCATTTACAGTCCTCTATACATGAAAGATACACAATTAGTTACTAATTATAAGAAAAAAAATCCCCATTAATCTTGCAATAATCTGTTCTTTAACAGTTAAGAAATTTTAATGAAAAAACAAGAATCAGATCATTTATTTCCTAATGCCTTAAAATAAAATATTCGAAATTAGAAATATGGATAAAAAAAAAGAACAAATATATACATATTACAGGCCTCGGACAAATCCCAGGAGCCAGGTTACCCACGGCAACTAGAAATTTCATTGCCGTGCGTAGTATTTTTCTCCCATTTTATTTGTGTGTAGCGCTGTACTAAATAGAACTCAAATCTAGAACAGTTCTGGATTCTTGGAAGTCTGGTACTATTTTTGTATTCTTTGGGTCCCAACTCAAATGTTGTTTCTAGGATTTTAATGGTGGATTCAGTACTTCAAGTTTTTTCAGGAATGAAGTGCAACAGTTGCACAACACGTTACTAATTTCACGCCATTCTGTTTTTATTCTTTCTCTCATTTCAACCAATCAGTGTGCGTGTTTAGACTCAGACGGGACCAAAGGCAGTTAGTTCATGCAATACTATCAAGTGGTTGTTTATATAATGTAATTGTTAGCATGCAATCATTGTTGTGAAAGTATATAAATATACACTGGTGCCTCAATTATCAGTATTGGTACAGGGGAAGCAAAAAATGTAGGATAATCGAGGCACTAGTGTATCTCACTAGTTAGCTGATTGTTTAATCTAAATAAAAATTTTCAATATATTTAAGTTCCTTATTTTAAATTATAATATTTTTACTGTCATTTATTCACATTATCATGAAAAATTATAAAAGTCGCCATAATCATAAAAGCCAAGTGTCGGTCAGTCAGACATGCTTAATTTTGTGAGTTACATGAGTTCATTTCCATTTTTTCTCCTATAATACTTCCTCTCTTTTTGATTGCTTGTTCCTATTTTAATTGAATTTAATCACTAACATAGGCATAAATAGCTCCTTCTATGTCTATAGCAGAAAAAGTAGTGCATTCGCACCCTATCAGCACCCGTGAAAAATAAGTCAAAATTTAGCGCAAATCTATGCTTGGGAATTATTATGTAAAAGCCTTTGTTAAAAGAGACCGAAGACACCAATTATTTGTAGGAAAGAGGACAATGCATAACTGGGCAACACCCAAACACAACCTGAACATGTGGTTAAAGGACACCCATCCTGCATCATAGAACAGTGGATGAAAACTGAAGTTGAGTGAAATCTTTAAGAAATCTTAATGTGTATTTTGTATGTTTTTGTACACTATGCTTTTAATCACTAATCAAATAAAGTTAACCAAGCTACAAATATTTTGTAGTCCTGTCTTAACAGCTAAAAATAAAAGAGGCAAGGCTAGGCTTGAACTGGCAGACTTATGATTTGAACACACGCCAGATTCTGCATCTGAAAACTCCAGATATTATGCAACATCTAAACTTTTGCAACCAAAATTAATTTCTGAGTGACAATTTCTCCAAAACATGTAAAATATTGTCTAGAATTGTAATGCCACAATTATTTGGAGAAGTTTTAGGGAAAAGAAAAACCGCGAATTGTGGAGGAGCAGATAATAGAGGCACTAGTGTAGCCCCCATTTCTCAGTACAAACAGTAGAAGTTAGGTTAGGCACACCAGGCTCCTAAGTTTTTAGGCTGGCTCCTAGATCTGAAAATATTTGTCAAGGCCTGACATATTACAATAAATAAAGAAAGATAAGGTTTATCATTAAAATGCCACCCTTTAAAGACAAAACACATATTGTTGTTTTTAACTATATGGAATTTGTGGCAACATTTTGCAATGAGAATTTAAGTTAAATGGGACAAGCAAGTACTAAGGAACGTTAAATATAAGAAGCAAGGAGGCTATAGCATACAAGGTGGTAGAAAAAATACAAGACATTACAATGGATATGGTTAAATAAATACAGGAAAAAAATGTTATAAGTGAAAAACATGATGTTAAGATGTAAAAGTTGATAAGGAAGCTACAGAACATCAATATATAGGGTAGGAAGGAAGTTATAAGGTACACAGAGGCGATAAATGTGTCTTAAGATATAATCTTAACACTAGTCTCCTTAATGATATCAATCGTCCACAGCTACAAACCTAATAAAGATGGTGGAAACTCAAAATTGTATTAGTAATTTGATATAATCCAGGTATATATAAGCTGTACTGACTGTAATTAGGGAAATGCAAGATTCAATTCTGCTCAGACTTTTTTTTTTTCTTAGTACAAGTTCAAAACTGTGTTGGTTACTTGTCTTACCTTATTTCAAGCCCACTAAAGTGAAAGATCATGAAAGTATTTTCATTTATTAACCTTTAAGTAAAATTCATTTGTAATTACTTGCTTACTAAAAACTATACAAACTTTTACAATATTTTAATATTTTTCTGTCATAAATATTTCATATAATGAAGTTCATTACCTGAAGTATCATGAGACAGTCCTAAGTTATGGCCTAGCATGTGGGTGACCGTTATTGCTGTCAGATGGGGTTCATATATGTTACTGTCCTGGAAAAAAAAAAAAAAAA